ATTTCAAGATAAAGTAACCTGAACGACTCGAAACATGTTTCTTATAGGTTTTCGACAATGCTCTTTCCAGTAGCATCGTTTTTAAATATTGAGAAAGTTTTCTGAAGGGTTTTCGAAAGATCGGATCTCTGGAAAACTCCTTAGAAAACTTTCACAAAACCCAACTCTCATGCCATTAGAAAGAGGATCATGAAAAACCTATAAAAAAATGGTTCATGAAATCCTAGTTCACACATGAAGCTAAAGTCCGCCTGCTCTAGCAAAAAATGCCCACTGTGAAGGGGGAAAATGTTTTTGCACCGCTATTCTTCGTGAACAATTTCTGATGAACTAACGGTTGATGAATTAGCGGCCATTTACTTGTACACATTGGAATGGGTACCATCCAAACACAGTTTATACGCTGTTCTCAACAACAGTCTTCCTGAGAACGACCGAGACAAACTAAAACCGTGGTTTCCCTATTTGAAATTATTGCTAACCGCCTTGTGCAAATTACCGTCGATACAAGCCACTGTTTGGAGAGGTGTAAAGCACAATATCAGTGATAATTATGGGACAAGTGATAAACGAATCTTCTGGGCATTTAGTTCTTGCTCGACTTCACCAGAAGCTCTCTACTTTTAAACAATTAAGGAGAAAGTAACACTCCTTTCTATTGAGTGTCTCAATGGGAAAGCTATTCAAAATCATTCATCTTATGCAGGAGAAGAGGAAATTCTGCTGATGCTCGGCATATGCTTAGAAGTCATTGGAAGCGTGAATCCATCAAAAGACGTACACATTATTCAGCTGAAAGAAATCGTGCTGCCATATCGTTTGCTAATACCACCGTTTAGCACTGACATTACCACCACATCGCTTACCAATCCATTGTCTTCGTTAAATTCGAATGACAGTGGAACACCCAGCAAACTTCCTGTTACATCAGGTAAGTGGACTGGGAGACAAATCTTCGAAGCTTACTGGTCTAGAACTCAGACAAGGAGCATTACATCGATAATGTATTCTCTTCCTTGTATATTTCTTTTTCGTAGTTCAAAAACCGTCTGCTGCAAGTACTCAAACTACTCCTAGCCTCTTATATAGCGCCTGTCATGATAACAATATCTAGTTGGTCACTCAATATCTTCAGACAATGATTCTAGACGAAAGCAATTGACGGGAGCCGAATGGTTCAACAGCCCTTCACGCCGCATCATATCGTGGTCACCAAAAGATTGTTGAGTTGTTGTTGGAAAAAGGTGCTTGTACAATAACGATGAATAAATACAATTTAACACTGTTAGATGAGGCAAAAACTGACGATATAAAGCAACTAATTCGTCGTCGATGGTGTATTGCAGAATTTTTTAGTTCATTTTTATTTTTTGGTGAAAATCTGTGTAATTTTTCAACGTGAAAAGGCGAAAAAAATTAAAGTACTCGCATAGGATAGAGATACATATCAGTCGATTCTTTTTTTTATTGTGATTTCGACTATGATATTTTATTAGACAGAAGTTGAGTTTTATTGGAGAAAATTGAGATTTACAAGCAGAATTCTGACATTTTCGCCTTTGATTTAGAAAACCAGGATCAAGTGATACAGAAACATTATCAAATCCCTACGTTTGTTCAATTTTTAAATCTCTATGCAATGCCATTTGAACGAACTTTCTATCGCTGCCGCGAATTGAGCTATTGAAATATTAAAAGAGTTAAAATTTTAAGTTTAAAAATTTGAGTTTTGAGTTAGACAATCGATTTCTTTTAAAAATGTTCGCTATTCAACGCTGAATACGAATACAAGTTCAAAACTTGTTTTTGACGCTCACTATTTTCAAAACTCATTTAGTTTGGTCTCTGTAGCTCAAAACCCACGGTTTTCTAGAAAGCCTGCTTTTCAGCATTTTGGAAGAAACCTCTCGCTAGACAAAAGAGAAGATCATGGTCTAAAATCCCTTGCTCCTGGATTTTATGACGATAGGATGAGCTCATCAGGAGATCGATTTCTCATGTTAGGCGCCTATTGTTTACGATCATAGCGCCTATGATGTAACGTATGCAGCCTCTAGTAGGCATGCAACGGTAACGATAATTTATCGGTTTATCGTTATCGGTTTTATCATATCTTACCGATTATCGGTTAACCGAGTATCGCTTCTTACCGATAAAACCAATAAAGTTCAGCTAACGTTCTTTATTGATCCTTTCTCTTTTTTCTTTTCTTTATATCAGAGAACCAGCAAATAAAATGTCTCTTCTCAGATATGCACGGTATATCTAAAAGATGTTTCTGTTCGATTCTTGGCAATGTCTATAGAGATTCAACACATATATGTTCAATTTATTCTTCATAACTCAGTCAGTTTTAATCCAAATTTTATAAAAGGGACTACCGTAAGAGTCTCAAGGTTTTTGTCTTCTTACAAATGTGGAAAAGTTAAAGACTTCCACAGTGTAACCTTCTAAAGGACGATCAAAGTCAATGCTTTTCTCCTGATATTTTATCAGCTGAAAGAGTCAGTAGAGTAGATTTCAATAGTGTTTTCATTTCTTAAGAAATGAAATACAATTTCTACATAATCACACTTACATTCATGAAGTGTGTTTGATTTGAGTTGGACGTTAAATCGCTAAGGACCGATAATCGGTGAGACGATAATCGGTAAGGACCGATAATCGATGAGACGATAATCGATGAGACGATAATCGATGAGACGATAATCGGTGAGACGATAATCGGTAAGGACCGATAATCGTTACCGTTGCATGCCTAGCCTCTAGTCTGTGACTTGAATTGACAGAGTAAATGATATGACTTTGAGAAGACTACGTCGCACTGGCATGACGCCAATAGGCGCTTCGTAGCTGAATGTCTTGTCCGTGAGTGGTGAGTGGAAGCATGAAAAAATGAATATGAATATGCTTGTTATTGATTCTGATCGCTTGTTGATTCTGATGATTATGCCAGTTTATCCCACGTGAATGTATGTATTGCGGTGGTGTAACAATCACACTGAATTGAAAAACACAAGGGAGTAGCTGGACGGGATGTTTTATGTCAAAGTTGTTTCAAGAAAGACTAAATTGTAAGAACTAATGAAAGTTGTTGTCACGTTAATTTTCGCAATTTGTTATGTTTTCCAAATAAAAGTATATGACACAATGCCATCATTTTTATGCCATAAATTTTATTTTTCTCATTGGCACTTTTTTTCAACCAATGAGAAAAATAAAATTTAGGCAAAAACCACGTAGATTATGTCGACACCAGAAAAGAAGTCAAAGTAGAATTACAAGGAACCCGCTGTCGGATTCATCGAAAAATTTTGCACACAGCGCCCAATTTTTACCTAATTTGGTGCAGCGCGGAAAAAGTACATAATTTTCTAATGTATATCTTTGAAAATATAAAATGAGTTTCACTTACATTTTGAAACGCTCGATGTGTTGAAAGTATTTCATGAATTACCTTTAACTTAGCTTTATCTGGTAATTGAACACCTAGGTCTTTACATAATTCAACTAAACCTTTTGTTTTATCTTTGTTTTCTCCACGTTGAAAATAACAATCAATAACTTTTATCGAGCCGTTTTCATCGATATATTCAATTTGTTTAACTGGACAACGAGTACCGATATTTTTACCAAAATCTTGTAATGAATATGCTTTGGTAGTGTGGGTTCTTGCGTTGTCCACGATTATTTCTATCTGATTATTCTTGTATTCTTGTTTGAATTCTAACATTTGAAAGAGTCTTTCAGATTGACTTGAGATCATATCATTATCGAAGTAAGCGTCTGTTCTGATATTAATACTAGCTGTTGCTGTTCGACGAAGATGATTAACATCACCATCATCACTTAATGATTTATATTTTGCAACCGCTTGTTTCCATTCATCTTCACTAAGCTTAAAAAGCGGTCCACTCGGATGTTGAACAAGAAAATCCGAAACTATGTGATTCCGTCCACGTTCTTTCGAAAAAAACAGTGTACTCTCTGTGAAAAACCGCCGTTTTGGGCTAACTTCACCACTTCTATTGGTGAACGTTGGCGAAAGTTGAATTGGCGAACTGCTACAAATCCCTTGATGAGTTATCTAATCTATTAGGTTTTTTGTTAAAAAGTAACATCTTCATTGAATATTAATTGAAAGTAATGTTTTCTTGATGAAACGGAGATATTGCAAACTATTTTAACGTTCACTATAATAAATTTTGTTATTTATTATTTATTTGACAGATCATAAATTCTCTATTCAACAAAAGTTCTATTAGACAACAAAGAACAGACTGAAAATTATCTTGGATGTAAATAAAATGCGTAGGAATGACCTTACATAATTGAGAACGCAATAGGCCATAATAATAAATTTGCAAATAGATAAATACTAAAACAACTCTTAATTAAATAAATAATAAAACAAAAAATAATAAAAATAATAAAATAATAAAAATAATAAAACAACTGTTCACATATTTGGGTGCATTTAGCAGTCACTATACAACTTTTTTAACAAAAAATAACGCAGTATTGTCGGCTATAGTGAATTTGTGTTAATTTGGACGCGAATTCTTTCTTTAAATTTTCATTAAGTTGCAAAATATGTATTATTGTTATCTTCTCAATTATTCACGTAAGAAATGGTTAATTATCCTTTTAGAATGAATCTCCTTTCTATGATGATTACAAATACAGCCTTTAGAAAATTTCATGCCTGATGATTACCTGCTAATCGACATTTTTATAATGTATGTATATCATTGAGCTCTACTCTCTAAAAAACAGGTTTATTACGATTATTATTATTTAGAGAGTAGAACGATCATTTTCTCAACGATTAGAGACCCATCTGTTTTCTCGAGTTGACAGTTTCAAAAAGATATTAAAAACTAGTGCATAGTCTGGAGCAAATCTTCTAACAAGTCATTATGAAAGAGTTTTAGATGAAAAAATAAATTTTACTAAAATTGAAATATGTCGTAGTTTAGTTAACAAAACCATGAAAGCGTATGTGCGTTATCAGATAGCCCACAATAAATTGAACACTTTTAAGGCTAAACTTCTCCAATTAAAACACTATTTTAAAGTTTCATTTTATGAGCAAAACATGCAGAATTTAATTCTATACAAAACTGTGTAGCTGATATTTGAAATTAGTTGAGAATTCTAGACGTAACATTTGAAGTATCAGAATATCTCAGTGTTCAAAACTTCCTTGAGCTGCAAAACTATGCAATTGACAAATAAGCGACCTGTAGTAATCAGCTTATGTATGCTTTTCCAGTAATTCGATGGTTTTGATAAAAAGATGCGGAATTTTCTCAAGAATTTATTAATGTATTTTGTTTTAACTCATAACACTTTTCTTACGCAATGGACTGACACAAGAAGGAATCTACAAACCGCAAAAGAAGGGCGTGACGAGGAATTTCTTAAAGTCGTTTAGAAGCTACCTCTCTGCTAGCTGTTCATGAGTGAGAAAGTGATGAGAATCAACTAGTTGCACGTATGAATGTGGACCTGGAACAAGTATCTAGGTAGTCAACTAGATGGAAAATTCCATCAAATATTGATAAATGTATAGCCATGCTATTTTCGAGAAAGGCGCAAACAGGTTTAGTCCTGTTCGTTCTAGACAGCAATCCATTGAGACTTCTTCTTGAGCACAAACATCTCAGTGTGATAATATGTAACGATGTGAATTGGCTACATCACATCAAGGAGTAGTGCCTAAATGGAATAGAATCCTGTGTACGATGGAGAGACTTAAGAATATTTTTTTCACACCGGTCCTGGACCAAGTATTTAAGTCTTTTTCTGTAGACGTTACATATGCTGACTGTGAACACCTTGAAGTCTCCCCTTGAACCCTTATATCGCCTACAATATCAGGCAGCCCTAGCAGTTAGCGAGCTCCTTCATAAAACTAGCAAAGACTCGGTCTTATGCGTGTTAGGATGTCTCTCTCTTGAAGTCGCCTTTAATTTCTTAGTCACCTTAATATTCACAAACGAATCCTCTAGCATAAAATTCGTAATGATCATGCTCCACCCTATTTATGTGATTTGTTAACCAAAATTGTACACAACTACAATATTCGACAGAAAAACAATATAATAATTCTGTCTATTCTGGCCCAAACCATCAAATTTGAAAGGATTTTTCCTTTGTCTACGACCAAACTCTGGAATAGGCTATCACATAACCTTGTGACATGTAAACCAATGTCTAATTTTAAACGACTCTATGTGTATCCCTCTCAAGTTTTCGTATCTAAAACATTTCAAGTGAGGTTGATATTTTGTACTATCAAATTTGAACGGGCTTTTTACAACTTAATAGAAGTTGACTGACACAGATTTATGTGCATGGGAAGTAGTTGAGACAAGAAAGCATTTTCTAATTCATTGTCCCTTGCATACTTTACAAAGAAAACGTTTATATACCGACCTCAAAAATGAATTGCATGACGATCCGTTGTTGTTTGAATTTCTGACTCTGCGTCTTCCTTTGGATACACAAGATTTTCAAACACGGTCATTTGAACTGCGATCTCTTTCATCTTGGAGACGAAGCGTTGTTGAAGTTGATAACGTTATCCTATTATCAACCCGGTTCTCTCTTTTCTATATGTACGGTTTGGAAATTTTCTCATGCTGTCTCTTTCTGGCTTTTCTGTATTCGCTGTAATTGTTAGTGTTACTTTTTACCATATTTCACTACTATATTCGTTTTTATTTTCCTACTTCTGATCTTTTAAAAGAAGTTGTGATTTATTACTGGACTGCTCCAAAATGGTACACTGTTTCGCTGGATGAGTCTGCATATCCTCTGTGCAAAGAAAAATAAATAAAGCTTAAATCAACCTTGGTATGACAAAAAGGAGTAGAGGCATAGTACTGAAAACGGGTACTGTTCACAACAAAGGTCAAAAGTGAATTGTAAACACTAATTCTAAAGTTTGAGGTCAGATATTTAGTTTAAAAAAAGATTGTATCCGACAAGACTACAAAATTAGAAAATGAATGTAAATCTTCCACGTATAACAGAAACTTTTGAAAAAGAAATCTTCCAATCTTCAGCCGTATCAAAACCTATTTCATGAACGAAAGGTCATGATGAGCTGAAAGCTGTCGTACTTTGCAGAGAACACCGGGCTCTATGTGATGAAATGTCTAGTTCAAAGATGAGTTTTTCATAAATAGGACAGGGACACTCGTTTAGACATACCAAGTTTTGTCGAGTCGTTAACAAAATTTAACTAAGAGATGAGTATGAAAAGAAGAGATGAATATGTTCTGTTTCTGCTCGAAGAGTTTTTAGACAACATTATCATGAATCTTATTTTAGAATTCCACGCCAAACAATTTACTTTGATATGAATTATGCTTGGTTCAGAGTTATAATTTTCTTCTCTTATTCAGTTCACCAATGTCGGACACAAGTCTTTCTTTATCATACCGAAGACCGAACTAGAACACAATCATACGATTGTATTCCCTATACAAACATCAGTGGTAATATGCAATCTATAAAATATTGTATAAGAACAGATGAAAATATCGAATTAAAACGAAATGTCATCGATCATTGTTTAAATAATGGAACAAAATATAATTTCGAAACACTCAAAAAGCTTGTTATAGAACCAGCTGAAATTCTACATTGGAGCTCAAGCATCGAATTAGTTGATCGCTATGCGGCATATCTCGAAAGGTTAGTAAAGCTTCAAACGTGCTGCCCTGTTGTTAACGAAAAGTTCGAAAGACATTTGCATTTTTAGAAACGCCAGTTAAGGAACCCTCCGACTTCGTGAGTCATCTTTTTAGTGACGTATCCGATCTTGCCGAAAGTTTCAGAGGTCTTAGCATATCATGTAATCAGAGAAAGCACTGATTTTCAGTTCAAAAAGTTGAGCCGTTCAGGAGATACACAGACCGCAAGTGTCAAAAAGTGCTATTGCCAAGGTACCAAATTCTCAGCCATAAAAACAGACAGAGACCTCGAGTTGATTCTGAATGAAACTAGACAGTTCGGTCTAAAAGGTGACTGAAGCCTATGTTTCAACCTGATTTCTGGCACACATCATGTAATCCTCACTGAATATAATAAAATGTATATAGTTTCGTCAGCGCACTCAGACTCGGAATGGTTTATACACAGAAAAATGTAGAACTGAAAGGGCTATAAATGAGTTATAACACACTGTTTTAACAGTTTGCCTTGCAGATGTATTGGACAAATACTTGATAGATATCTCGACTTTTTTCCTGTAGTGCCGCATAAAATGATTACAGTTTCTTTTATAGATAGAGATCAGGCATAGTTTGTATATAGAGAGACGCAGAATTGAAAGGGCTATCGAATGAGCTATATAACACATTCTTTCAAATTATAAGTTTCTTAGACTTTTGGGTAAGATAGTGAACGGATGCAGCGATTTTAACCTGTTGCAGAATAGTTAGTGAAGTATAACGTTGTAAATAAAATGAGAGCCAGAATGGTTATGATATAAAAAAATGCAGAATTTAAGGTGCTTCAAGTTGCAATACATTAGAGTAGATCAGAATTTAGAAAGTATACCGTCAAGCAATTATATTCTGAATAGTATATGACTGTCCCGACTTTTATTTACGATGATTCTCAAACTATCCAACCGTGTGTATTTTCAGTTTTTCTCTTCGAAAATAATAGCTATAACAAATCTGAAAAAAGATTTGCATGGTTCAAGGAGTTTTCAATCTGGTTCATGGTAAATATAGATTCCATTAAAGTTTCTAGAACCCATGTTTCTAGAAAACCAAAATCCTACAGAATTAAATCTCCGAATTCAAGTGATACTTTTTTCACTCTGAAATGTTAAGGTCCTTGCAACGGAACTAAGATTTTCAGAAACAGTTTTTATGTAGAATATAATGATGCAGCAATGTAGTCTATACAGAAATCTCCAGATGTTCCTATTAAGATGAAAATGATGTTTTTTTCCGTTCTCTGCTATCGAATATATAACGAAAAATAGAACCTGTTTTAATAAAATTTTGCAATTCAATGTACGTCGTTTTAGTACATCAAAAGGTGCGATTATAATACGTTCCGTATACTTTTCACTCTTTAGCTACGATCGAAACCTGTCTGGATCATTCTTAGAAATGTTTGAAAAAGATTTTATATGCAACTGTACAAAAAGTGGCACATTCGGTAAATTTTGTCAGTATCAATTTATAAGTTATCATAATAGTTTTGAAGAAACAATTGTACATCAACTCAAGTTGAAATTTGAATACTTTGCTGGTAGTCAACATATTGGTAATAGAACATGTTATAAAACATTGACTTGTGATCATGGTCTTTTATGTCTGGATTGGCGTGAACTATGTGATGGTAAACAGCAATGTATTGATGGTATAGATGAAAATAATTGTGAACTATTAGAATATAATGAATGTCAATCAGATGAATATAGATGTGCCAATGGACAATGTATCGATGAAAAGTTTTTCTTAGACGGTCAGTTTGACTGTATGGATCGCTCGGATGAACAATATAAAACATTATCAATTATTTTTAAGTATAATTTTGTTTATTGTGGATTGAAATTAGATTTTAATTGTGAAGAAGTAATTATGCCACGTAAAGACTTTTCATGTGGTAATGGTGAAATTTATCCCGATCGTGCTGTATTGAAAAAAAAGCTTATTAACGGGGAATATTGTTTCAGCTTTAGAGATAAAAATTTCATGTGTGAATTAGATAAATATAATCCACTTTGGACAATGAATAATGGTCAATGTGTTTTTTATGGTAAATTAGAAGGTAATACAACAGAAGATATATGCTTATTTTTAATTAAATGTGGATTAATGGGTGGACAAGGATTAGAATGCCCATGCAACGGAATAAATTGTGCACCTATCATTCGAGAGCAACGTTGTTTAAATGTTGATAATTTAGTTGAATATCCTAAGGGAGGCATATTTGCTCCATATATTCGCACATTTTATGTTCCGGAACATATTCATTCACATAGACATCCAGATTATGTTATGTTTACGAAAAGTATAAAATGTTCTGGTTTTCATGTGAATGCTGTTAATAGGTCATACTACATTCCGTATGATGTTGACAGTTTTGATAGGGGTAATTGGCGTATATTTGAAACATTATTTTGTCTTAACAGTACCAGTGAAAATCAAAATTTATCGGGACCGCACTATGATTTATCGTGCCAGAATAATTTTCATCATCCAACATTTCAATGTTCATATGGTAAACATTGTATATCATCATATCGAGTAGGAGATGGTAATTATGACTGTTTAACAGCAGTCGATGAACAAATAGTAAGTGAACAATATCCAATTTTACCGGTAAATTGTTCAGTAATTCAAAAACATCGTTTTTATTGTTCAATAAATGAACCAAAATGTTTATTGAGTACAAATCTAGGAGATAAACTTCAACATTGTACAACAAATAATCGTGATGAATATTCTGATGAAATGAAATTACTTTTATCAAGCGTATTATGTTTAAATAAAAATTCTATTGAATGTGATATTGTAAGAAAATATATTGAACAATCATCCTGGACAAATACAACATCTTACTATGAAACAAATACCAGCTCACCATTGGTATTCTCATCAACAAAAACAATTTTATTTCGAGAATATTGTGATACATTTTGGGATTTAAAATTAGGATTTGATGAAAGTTCTAGTCTATGTAAAGATTGGATATGTCCACCTAACTATTATCAATGTTTAAATGGTCAATGTATACCGTTAGATTGGGTATGTGAAGGTGAATGGGATTGTTCAGATGCATCGGATGAAGAAGGCTTATTCACAATAACGAAACTTTCAGAACATAATTCAAAAATAATAAATTTACTCAATGCACAAGAAGCATGTAAAAAAGTACATAAGATTCGTCCATTTTCAAACATTTGTAATTTCGATGAATATCCTTGTTTATTAGCCAATATCAATGAACCACACAATATGACAAATCGTCCATGTATAAATTTGACTAAAATTGGAGATGGAATAATAGATTGTTATGGTGGTTTAGATGAACGTAATATTCTTAGCTGTACATCACAACAAATGTTAGGTTTTAACTTTGCATGTAAATCAAACATTAGTAACTTAAGTAGTGAATTTGAATCATGTTTATTATATACTCAACAATGTATGCATCGTTGTTTAAATGGTGAAGATAAAGCGTTATGTTTTTATTTAAAAAATAATTCTCTACTAATACGTTGTGATGGGACATTGCATGATACTTCAGAGACACTTTACAGAGATGTTCATTGTTTTAATCAAACATGTATACCAAATGCAAGATGTAATGGTAATATAGAGTGTGAAAACGGCGAAGACGAATACTATTGTAGCTCAAGTACAGCACCATTATTTGCAAGATACAGAAGTTTTGGTAATAAAAATATTAAAACTATTTTAAAAACAATTAGTTTACCGTATTATCCTAAAAGTAGCATTGAAACAATTATTGATAATGAAAACAAAAATAATCATTATTATGATATATTATTTCGTGGCAGAAAACGACTAACTTCGTCCAGAAATGGGTTAAATTTTGTGTCTTCAATGTTAAAATATCAAAACAATAACGTGAATTTTTCCTATTTTGATCCAAATAATATCAATGATTTTATACTCAATGCAGAAGAATATTTACGATTTAAATCAATTGAACCATGGACATGTAATCGTGGAGTATCAGTAAAGAAATGGCTAAATAATGATGAATACGATATTGAATGTTTTTGTCCACCTAGTTATTATGGAAGATTTTGTCAATATTTTAGCGATCGTCTCACAATTATTACACATTTAGATGGTGTACAACAGTTTTATTCTAATAATGTAGAAATATTAAAAAATATTACAATTAAAGTTCTGATTACATTTTTAGTTAATCAAACAACTATTATTGATTATAATGAAATACATTTTACTCCTGGATTGAATGATTTAGACGAAAAGCAACGATTTTATTTTGTTTATCCAAGACCAAGACTATTATCAACGGAAAAACCATATTCGGTACGTTTTGAAGCTTTTGAATTAAATCATAATTCAAGTATTCGATTACTAGCCGTTTGGATTTATAAAGTTGACTTTAATTTTTTACCATCATTTCGTATAGCAAAAATATTAAAATTTCAATTACAACAACAACAACAACAACAAAATCATATTTGTTCAACAAAATCTCCTTGTAGAAATAATGGTACATGCTATCGCGTAATGAATATGATTGATTTAAGTTCATACTATTGTTCATGTAATAGTTCTTTCTGTGGTATAAATTGTGAGTCTATTGATAATAATTATAATTGTCTTTCTGATCATGTTTGTTCATCAAATGCTTTATGTCGACCATCACGATTATGTTTATGCCCCATTAATCGATTTGGTTCAACTTGCCATTTAAAACGACAATGTGATATGTTTCAAAATAAAAATCCTTGTCTAAATGGAGGAACATGCTATGTAAAGTATGAACCAGATGCTCTCAAACAAGATTATATTTGTGTTTGTTTATCAAATTATTTTGGTGACATTTGTCAATACACATCAGTTGTTCTTGATATACAATATGAAATTTCATTTTTTAATACAACAATACTTGCGTCAGTAGTTCAACTCCTTAATTTTGATAATACAACATTAGATTTATTAATACGAAAACAAAAAGTTTATAAAAATCAACTATTATCATCAAATATTGTTTATAGCGAACGATTTATGCCCGTTCTCGGTTTTCTGAAGATATATCATAAACAAATAGAATCTATGGTTGAACCAACAGTGGACTACTTTCTTTTATATAGTCGCAAAGAAGAAACAAACATAAAATTAAATGTTAGTATAAATATGGAGAACTATTGTCCACATACTTATTCATTATTCTTCGAGAATGTTTCATCTCTATCAAGTAGGTCTCACGAATTTCTTATAGGCTACCTTTTACGTCCAATGTCTATGAATAGTATAGCTACCAATAACTGAAAAACGAAGAGATATCTATGAGCTAGGCTAGGAAAATGAACAAAGCCAAACGGAGCACCCAGTCAAAAAAAGATCAGAAGTAGGACTATGAAGGTGTGCTCAGTTTTCGAAGCACTCCTTTTGGGAAATGGAGCACTCCTTTTGAAAAAAAGCCACTAAGAGCATTCTAGAGAACTCTTTTTTTAGAGTAGTCTAGAATACCTCTCAAAAAAAGAGCGCTTCGGAGCACTCCTTTTTATAAAGTGCAGCCAAGGCACTGTAGAGCACTTCAAAAAGTGCTCCATCATACTCCTTCTCTTGATATTTTTTTTTTAATGGGTAGTGTGAGTCAGTGAGAATGATGGGTTATCAAATATACTATATGTTTTAAAGAATGTTTTCCAATATTCTTTAATAGCCATACTGTATGTCAGGAATCTACTTTAACTAGACCGAGTTGGATCTTGATGAAACTATCAGTGGGTATTAAGTATATCATAGACAGTTGACCGTAAAAATTTTGAGTTTATATTTCATGTGCTTCGAGAGCAATGACCAAAATGGGACTTATTTTTGGAGTTTTCTTTTTTTCGTCATAGTAACACATTTATCTCATTCTGCAGACTTTTCTAGAGATGTTTACTTTTAACTGATTCTGAAATGAAAATCGAAAGTTCAACTTTCTGACGCTGTACCTGCAAGTTTCTTCTACAAAACAAAGCGATGTCGAATATCGAACGGAACAGAAAATCTTTAAAACACTGAGAATGACAAAAACGAAATTCGATTTTGAGAAAAAAACAAGAAACAAATTTCCATGTTTTCTTTAAAAAGACGATACTTCGAAAAAGGCTGTTTAGGTGAAATATAGTTTCAATTAAGGAACATCTACCTTTACTAATCTGTTAATTATGTGGAATAGTCCTTTTATAACCCTTGATTGTGTTAATAATGCACACACGACCGTATCTTTGAAAGATACTTTGTTATAAATTTTGGCTATACAGAACCTATGAGATATTTGTAGACATATATGTGACATATTCTACGACATGAGAACATCGTTTTTGATATTTTGATTAGAGATGGGCATAGGGCTGTGACAGTTACCAGTTACCGTTACCATCGTTGTCCGTTACTAGAGGCAACGGCAACTGATA